GAGCGCTACTGTTAAGTCGGGCCTGTCCCCCTACAGGGGGATTTTCAACGAAAAAGTTTTAAACAATACCCCAAAATGCCCCACAAAGGTGAAAAAATACTCACAAAATAGTCCCCAGACTATGTTTGGATAATTTTTGGATTATGTTTAGGATATTTTTAATTTTCGTCGAAAATCCCCCTGTAGGGGGACAGGCCCGACTTAACGCTACTGCCCACCATCCCCCCGACTTCTGGTCGAGCGGGGGGTGGGTCGATGGTCTCGGTTGCGGCGGCGCGCCGGCCAGCAGCGCCAGGCGCCGAGGCGGAGGGGGAGGAGGAGGAGGAGGAGGAGGAGGAGGAGGAGGAGGAGGAGGAGGAGGAGGAGGAGGAGGGAGGAGGGAGGAGGAAGGAGGGAGGAGGAAGAGGAGGAGGAGGAGAAACGACGCTACGAGCTTTGCTCAATGTTTGCCCAACGCGAAGAAAAGCGCAGGAGGAGGAGGAGGAGGAGGAGGAGGAGGAGGAGGAGGAGGGAGGAGGGAGGAGGATCGCGGGCCGAGGCCCCTGCGAGTCTCTCGAGGTCCTCGCGGCCACTGCCCGCCGTGGCTCGGAAGGGCCGCGGCTCGGGGGGCCGATCTTGGCGGAGGGTCTGCGGCGGCGAGCTTCTGCGGCAGGGGCGGCGGCCGGGCCGCCTCTGCAGGAGAAGGCAGGGTCTCTCCTCCTCCTCATCATCATCATCATCATCATCCTCATCCTCATCCTCATCCTCATCCACCTCCTCTCCTCCTCCTCCTCCTCCCCCCCCTCCTGAAGGGTCTTCGGGTGCCGAAGTAGGGCCTGATGTCAAAGGAGGGAAGCCCACGCCGGACTCGACAGTTGACGTTCCTTAGACGGCCCTGGACGTTCACTAAACGGCCCTGCCCTGTTCGATTCCCTCTGCGGGTGTGTTCACTAAACGGCCCTGCCCTGTTCGATTCCTTCTGTGGGTGCGCTCACTGGGCATCTGCGCGTGCCGGGGTGCTGTTCATCGGGGTGGATTCTGTGCCCTCTATGATTACGGTCCGGACGTTTTTGCTCCGCGTGTCGCGCAGCCAGTTCGATCCCACCACGACTCGGCGCGACACTGTAACCGCGTCCCGGTCCCCAGGCGTACATGTCGCAGCTTGTTCACATCTCGTCCCCCTCGCGGAGCGGAGCGACACGCTATCCGCTTTCAGTGCAGTGCACAGCGTGTCGTCAGAGCCGCCGCCGCGATGCGCTAAGCAGAGGTTTCTGGCCGCCGTGGCCTCCCCTGCAGAATTCGGGGTGCCTCTGCGCACCGCCTACATCGCAGCCTCGCGTCCTGCTCGTCCCTGAAGCGAAGATGACCCTCTAAAGAGTCTCTCCTCCTCCTCCTCCTCCTCCTCCTCCTCCTCCTCCTCCTCCTCCTCCTCCTCCTCCTCTCCTCCTCCTCCTCCGCCTCCTCCTCCTCTACCATTCCTTTTCCTTAGAAATCATACCGGAGGAAAACCCCAATCATAATATCTTTAGGGCTGTAAGGCTATGGGGCTATACGGTTATAGGACCATAGGGCTAGGACTGTAGGACTATAGGGTTATAGGGCTACACGGCAATAAGGCTATAGGGCTATAGGCCTTTAAGGGCTATAGGGCGATTGGGCTATAGGGCAGAAGGACTATAGGGCTATAGGGCTATTATAGGGCTATAGAATTATATGGCTATAGGTCTATAGGTGTATAGGGATATAGGGCTATAGAGCTATAGGGCTATAGGGCGATAGAGCACCCGGGCACCCCGGGGCACCCGGGCACCCTGGGGCTTCTCCGGGCACCCCTGGGCACCTCCGGGCACCCCCGGGCACCAAGGCACCACCGGGCACCCGGGCACCACCGGGCACCCCCGGGCACCCGGGCACCCGGGCGTGCAGCGAAAATCGGTGGCAAACCTAACCTACCCGTATGAATCCGCTAGGACCCCTACAGAGGCAAGCTCTGATTGGGGACTAAGTTTTCAGGGCGGTCCAGGCGTTTCGCTTGAGACTTCCTCACCACTGTTTTCTCTGAAGCTTAAAAATTGACAACAGTTTCACAGATGGAGGGCGGGTCGTTTTCAAAATGTGGCTTTCGCTTTAGCGCGGCGCACATTCGTATTAAGAAATTGCAAGAGCTTCACGGATTGTGGGCGGGTCGTTATTAAAATGTGGTTATCGCATTAGCGCGGCGCAAATTTGTTTTTATACATTTGCAAGAGCTTCACGGAGTGAGGGCGGCGCATTCTCAAAATGTGGTTCTCGCCTTATCGCGTCGCATTTTTATTTTTTCAGATTTGTAAGAGCTTCACGGATTGAGGGCGAGTCGTTTTCAAAATGTGGCTCTCGCCGCAGCGCGGCGCACGCTCGTTTGTACAAAATTGCAAGAGTTCCACTGATTCCCATCATCAACGTGCCAAAAATGATGTTTTGAAAGGATTCTGGATCATACTAGTTCAACTGCAACAGTTATGTGGATCCGCTGTGTTGAAGCCTCAAGAACTGCGTTCTGGTACGATTCTGGATCGTCAAGACGCAAGAGTAGGCTGATCCGTGGCGTTGGAATCCCGAGAACAATGTTCTGGCATGCTCCAGGGTCTTCGGTTGTCTTCCAAAGAGGCAGTTCCTTCAATGGACATGAACCGTTGTATGGGGCCTATGAAGAAGGAGCTTGGAGGGAGGGTTGATTCCAACATCGTTGATGCCTCTTCGCTCTACACTGGTCCTCCTCCTCCTCCTCCTCCCCCTCCCCCATCCTTCTCCTCCTTATCCTCCTCCTCCTCTTTCTCTCTCTCTCTCTCTCTCTCTCTATCTCTCTCTCTCTCTCTCTCTCTCGTTTGGGCTTGTCCTCCGCAACCGGCCCTGGCGAGGCCAGCTGCAGCGCGAGCTGGACGAGGGGAGCTTCTGGTCGCTGGCCGCCGTGGGACCCACGATTTGTGTCCAGCCTGCGCCCGGCCACCGCCGTGGGTTTCATCATCAGCATTCGCCAAGAAGCTAACGCTTGGCATCGCTCGGACGTGTGCATTTTTCTCTCGGCGAGGACCATCGAGGAGCATCCTTGATCTTCTGGCGAAAAAAACACGCACGAAATCTGAAAAAAACACAGGGAATGGACGTCCGAGCGATGGCCAGAACGCGTCCTGAGGGACACGGGTCCTGATTTGTTTCGCCGGTTTTGGCCTCCCAGGATCCTCCACCTACCCCAGGACTGCCAGAAAACGACTCGAGCCGAACAGCTGGTCTTAGAGGAAGGCCCCGCGGTCCAGGCCCCAGGTGCGCCGTCTTTGTGTGCATGCTAAAGAATCACTACTATCCTCAACGCCATCATCATCTCCTGCCTCCTCCTCCTCCTCCTCCTCCTCCTCCTCCTCCTCCTCCTCCTCCTCCTCCTCCTCCTCCTCCTAGCCTTCCTCCCTCCTTCCTCCTGCTTCCGTTATCCTTCCTTCGGGCAACGTTCAGCCGAGAGATCCAAAGCAACGCTTCTTCCCTCCGCCTCCCCCTCCTCCCTGTCCCCCTCTTCCGCCCCGCCCCTCTTTCTCCCCTCATCCGTCTTTCTCCGTCCTCTCCTGCCCACCTCCCCTCCCCATCCTCCCCATCTCCCCTTGCGTTCCTCCTCGTCTTCCTCTTGCTCTTCCCTACTTCCTCCTCTCCCTTCTCTTCTTTCTCTTCTTCCTCCTCCTCCTGCCTCTGCTCTCTGCTCCTTCTCCTCCTCCTCCGCCTCCCTCCTCCCTCCTCCTCCTCCTCCTCCTCCTCTCTCTCCTGCGCTCCCTCCTCTCCTCCTCCTCCTTCCTCCTCCTCCTCCTCCTCCTCCTCCTCCTCCTCCTCCTCCTCCTCCTCCTCCTCCTCCTCCTCCTCCTCCTCCTCCCCCTCCACTGCCGCACACCCCTGAGTGCAAGCGTTGGCCCGACCTCCTGCGGCCTCATCGCTCCTTGCCGGAAGCCTTGCTGCACTTTTGCGTCAAGAGCGGGTGCTTCGCAGGCGCGGGGCGTGCCGTGCTTCGCCTGTACAGCATCAGTCACGAAAGAGTCGTTGCCAAGGCGATCCTGGCTGTTGGAGAGTGCGTTTGTTTTACCCTCTGGGCCTTAGCGCGCGTTATGCCCCCTACCCTTCCCCCCTCTCCCCACCCCATGACTTAACGCTCCCCCCCTCAGTGCGTCCCCGGCACTGCCACGGTGCGTCCAACACCACAGCCGGGGGGGGGCCGCTGCGTTATGCCCCCTCCTGTCGCCACCCCCTACCCCCCAATAACGCCCGTTATGGCCGCGAATGCAGAATGCGTTCTTGTCGTGTCTATCCCAGAAAACGTCGCTTCGTTCTTCTTCGACGTGACGGGCGCGATGCCCGCACAGCGTCCGCAGCGCTCGGGGCGGCCGTGTGGCAGCATCCTGGGCTTCAGTGGCAGCAGCCGACGTCGGGTGGACGGCAATGAGGGGGGGGGGGGGGCAAGAAACGTGGGGGACCGGGGATGGCAGGGAGGTTGCCTCACAGGTGCCCCAGACGGCCCCGAAACTGACGCCGCGGGCCAGAAAGGTGCCCCGAAAGGCGCACGCGGCCCCAACTCGCGTGGGTTGCCCCACCCGACGGATCTCGAGGACCCGACGCGGTGCGGCAGCCGCGCCTCGGCACCCGCGGCGCGCGGCAGGCCGGGAATCGCCGTCATCCAGGCGGGCGGGCCCCCGCCGCGTGGCTGGCGTGGCCGCCTCGCGGGGCGGAGCCCTGCTGGCCGCAGGAGCGCGGAGGTGCGGCCCCGGAGCGGGCCGGGCCTTGGCTGCAGCCATCGTGGGCCCCGCCGCGTTTCGGCCACCGGGGGCCCCTCGCCGGGTCCCAGTGGCCCAGGACCGTCCACCAGCCTCGTCGGGGCGAGGCCCCAGTCCGGGGAGGCGGGTCGAGGCCTCTGCGGGGGTCCGCGCGGTGAAGAGCGGCACGGCGCCGGGGGTATCTGCGATGGCGGACACTGTGCGCGGGTGCTCGTGAGGCCAGGCCTCGAGCCCGACGGCGGCGGCGCGCCTGGCGACGGCGGCGGGTGGGTGGCCTGGCGCAGGCGGGGGCCGGCGAGCACCACGCGGCTGGGCGAGCACCGTCGTGTGGCCCGTCTGGCTGCTGCAGGTCGTCAGCACCAGCGTTGTCCGCCCTGCTCCCCCGGCCTCGCCCTGCCGCTCCTGGCTCCTCGGCCTGCTCGTCCTCCTGCTCCCTCCACTGCTCCCCAGCCTCGCCCCCTCCTGCCCCCTCCCCCTTTCCCCCTACAGTCGGGGCCCTGAAGAAGGAACCCTTTTGGTTGGGGAGGGGCTCCGCGTTCCTTAAGTGTTTCGCAGCTTGCCTCAGGTTTCCCTTAGGTTTTCGGAAATCGAAGTTGAACTTATGGAAAACGGGGGCATCGTTCCTTATTTAGGGTTCCTTAGGTCAACGCCCCCGACTGTACTCCGCGCCTGCCCTGTTCCCCCCTCCCCTGTCCTCTGTCCGTCTTCATCGGGAAAGCGCGGGTGCCTCGTCCTCGCGCTGCGGGCTGCAAGGATCCACGCAGCAAGTACATCCTTCAACTGCAAGCTCGTGTCCGGTAACGATTTGTTATCCGCGCGAGGCGCATGGGGAAGAGGATTTGGTTTGATTGTGGCAGCAGATGTTTCGGTGCTGACGGGCAGCAACACTTCGCCACTTGAAAACACAGCCCCGGGGAATCGCACGCATGCCTAGCGGGCATGCGTTCGTCGTAAGAACGTGCGCATTCCGCCCCAATGGGTGCATCACAGAAAATTTGGGCCCCCGCTGACACCGAGGTCCCCTAGTGCCCAGACCTTGGATTCAGAATGCTGCCTCTGATGATACCCCTCGTTTGCCAAATTTCAAATGGTGGGCACTGCAACGCGATGAAGATTTGCATGTCAGTAGTTTCAGTGGTGCGCACGGCATACATCGCGATGCGTGGGTGGGGAAAAAGAGGGGGGGGCAAGCAACAAAAACAAGAAAACAATATGGCGATGCGTGGTGAGAGGGCCGCGGCAAAAGCAGATGGCGGGTCAGAGCTGTGATTCCGTTCTGGCGTCGAATGACAGGCGGTCTCCCAAGTTTGAGAGCTGCGGAGGCTGCCGGGAAAGAGATTACACTGCTCGCACGAGCGTGAATGTGTAGAAGTTCCAGATAGCATTCACCATGGCCTCCAGGACTGGAGATGGCAGCTCTGGCCTGGCTCATTGTTTCGCCTAGCCCCCCGGCTGGAACAAAACAAGTCGGATCTACGCGACGACATTGGCCCGCTCTGAACCTGGTTGGAACAGAAAAAACGTGAATCAGATTCTCTCGAGAGTTCGGATGTAGTTTCGATGATTTCGGCAAGACTGGGGACAAGCACAGGTAAGCGCGGCGCAGCGCGCTGCAGCAGCACCATGGAGACTGATGTGGTGACGATGGTCGGGCCGGACGAAAGGGGGGGATTGGGAAAGGGGGGGGTCCGAAATCTGCTGCATGCAGCTGGTTTCGGCTCCACCGAGGGGCCCATTCCTCGATACAAAGCCGCCTCCCGGCGCCGGGAGGAAAATCAGCTACGTGAGCTGATTCTCAAACCCCCCCTTTGCTATCCCCCCTTGTCGCCCGACCCGAGTTGTGGGGGCACCTTGCCCTTCCCTGTCCCCTCGCCCTCCCTTCCCCTCCCGCTTCTCCGCCTCGTGCTGGGGAGAGCGCGCCACGCAGAAAGCAAGCGCGCGCCTCACAGACAAGCGGTCGCTCGTGCGGGAGCTCCGCCAAGCGCAGGCGCCGGGCGGAGGAGAAAAGGAGGGGTGCAAGTCGGGGGCAATTTTATGAAGGATAGTAGGGGAACAGAAAGTGACATAAACATAAAAACTCGGAGGTCCGCGCGGATTTCTCGGATCGGCGCTGGACCCCCCTCCCTGGCGCGCGGAGCGCGCCAGGGGCGGCGCCGGAGGCGCCGCCGGGGGCCCCAGCGCCGATCCGAGAAATCCGCGCGGACCTCCGAGTTTTTATGTTTATGCCATTTTCTGTTCCCCTAGATAGGCTCAGGGGGCGGATGCATCGGCCCCTAATCGCCCATTCATCGCCGAGGGGGGCCCGATAGGCCACCCCGCCCAGGAACATGCAGTCTCGCCATCGGGGGCACATCGTCGATCTGAAGCCCGATGTATCGCCGATTGCAGGTAGACGTTCCTCCCCCCCGAGCCGCCCCCCCCTTCTCGTTGACCCTCAAGAGGAGGGACCCAGCGTCCCACACATACTCCGAAGGGTAGTTCCCAAGTATGTCTTCTGGAGGGTGCGATAGAGGAGAAGGAGGAGGAGGAGGAGGAGGAGCAGGAGGAGGAGGAGGAGGGGGCCACGTTTAAGAAGGCAGCTGCGACGTCGGAGAAGAGGGCAACAGGCGGCGTCTCTGTCCGGGGAGTGGCTAGACGGCCCCGAGGCGATCGGTGATCGAGGCGTGTGTTTTTACTCTGTGGCCCTCGGTTGCCTTCCAGAGGCCCCCCACGGGGGGCTTCAGCGGCTGCGGGGCCTCGGGGCGAGACAGCCCGGAGCCCTGCGGGGAGGGGAGAGAGGCGGTCTCCGCGGCGGCCGAAGGAAACAGCCGGAAGCGCCTCTGTCCGCGCCCTTCGCGGCCAAGTGCCGTGGCCCTGCGTTCACGTGCTTGCTCCTCGTTGTTTCTTGTTTTCGGGGGGCGGGTAGGGCTGGCGTCTGGCCTGAGGTCGGTGGGCCCACCTTCCTCGAGATCCGATGTCTCGATGTTGTATCAGCACGGCGCCCCCGAAAGCCCCAGCCCTTTCCCCAGGGCCGGCTTGTCATCTTGAGTCGTTTTCTGATGGCCCCAGGGCCCAGTGGCATGGGTCCGCTTCGCCCCGACCCGCTTCGCCCCGACCCGCTTTGCCCCGACCTGCTTCGCCTGGGCCCGTTCCGTCGGCGGCCCGCCTCGCGGGCGGCCCGCTTCGCCGGCGGGCCGCTTCGCTGGGGGCCCGCTTCGCCTGAGGCCCGCTTCTCCGGCGGGCCCCTTCGCCGCCGGGCCGGTCGGGCGGGCGGATCCTAACGGGCGGGTCGGGCTCGGGCGGGTGGACCCTAACGGGCGGGTCGGGCGGGCAGGACACGAAAGTTGGCGGGCGGGCGGGCGACGACGACCACAACCGGCGACGACCACGGCGAGAGACAGCGACGGGCGCCGCGGGCCAGGGCGAAGCGGGCCTCGGGCGAAGCGGGCCTCGGGCGAAGCGGGCCTCGGGCGAAGCGGACCGGGGCGAAATGGGCTGGGCGAAGGGGGAGGACTTGGGCGAAACAGGCTAACTCTGGCCCGGCAAGGGCCCCTGGGGGCCGAAAACGACAGAAAACTGCTTGATTTGTTCAAGACTTTGGATGTTTGGGTTCCACTACCACCGCCATACACCCAGGGGCGCCCTGGGCCTTGGGCGGCAGCTAATTCATCGTGGCGGGCGCCTGGGGTGCCCTGGGGGAGCCCTCGGCGCTCCAGAACCGTTCCTGGGACGCTTAGGAGCGCCCTCGGCGCGAGGAGCGCCCTGGGAAGCTCCGGAGGGCTTGGGAAGACCTGGGAGCCTTGGGCACCGCACTGGCGCGCCTTCCGGGCGCATGGGAACGCTCTGCGCGGGCCCTGGGGAGGCCCTGGAACGCCCTGGCTGCTGGAGATTGTAGTGCTCTGTTGGGCACGGCCGACGCATCGCGCCGACGAGAGAAACTCGGGGGTGGACAGAACCCCCACCCTGACACGTCGATTATTTAATTGTCCGTTTTCGGTTCTCGAGAGGGCGCCGCGGGCGTCATTTTCCAGGCTTGCGCCCGCCATGCTTGGGCCCGAGGTCGTTTTCACTAAACAAGATTTTGCTAAAGGGGGCTCCGTCCATCCCCGAAAAGCACTGGTGATCCAGCCCTGGTCGATGGTGGTGGTCGACAGCAGGCCCACCACGAGGGTAAAGCTCACGCTGGGCAGGAGAGCAGAAAGTTGACCAGGTCTCGGCCTCCTCCTCCTCCTCCTCCTCCTCCCTCCTCCTCCTCCTCCTCCTCCTCCTCCTCCTCCTCCTCCTCCTCCTCCTCCTCCTCCTCCCCTCCACCTCCTCCTCCTCCTCCTCCTCATCCCCCTCCTCCTCCTCCTCCTCCTCCTCCTCCTCCTCCTCCTTCTCCTCCTGCGCCCGCCGCCAGCCACCTTTCAGGCCCGCGCGTCGCTGGAGATGAGCGCCGACCAGGTCGTGGTGGACGACGGTACAGCTGCATGGCGCCGCCTGTACGATTCCCTCGGCAGACTTCATCAGGAGAGCATGGGTGGCCAGGGAAGTGTGGGCGCTCAACCTCCTCATCCTCCTCTCAACTTATGATTTCCCCGATCAGAGCTTGCCTCTGCAGGTGTCCTAGCGGATTCATATGGTTAGGTGAGGTGTGTCACCTATTTCCGCGGCCCGCCCGGGTGCTTGATAGCCCCAAAGCCCTATAGCCTTATAGTCTCATAGCCCTATAGCTACATAGTCAAATACCCCTATAGCCACATAGCCCTATAGCCTTATGGCCCTAGAGCCCTAGAGACCTAGAGCCCTATAGCTATATAGCCCTATAGCCCTATAGTCATATAGCCCTATAGCCCTATAACCCCATAACCCCATAGCCCTATAGCCCTATAGGCATATAGCCCTACAGTCCTGAGGTCCTATAGCCCCATAGCACTATAGACCTATAGCCCCATAGCCCTATAGCCCTATAGCCCTATACCTCTTTATGTCTATAGCCCTACAGCACCATAGCCCTGTATCCCTATATCCCTATAGCTCGATGGTCCTATGGCACTTCAGCCCCATAGCCATATAGACCCATATCCATATGGCCCTATAGCCCCATAACCCCAGAGCCCCATAGCCCCATAGCCCTATAGCCCTACAGCCCTATAGTCCTATGGCCCCATAGCCCTATAGCCCTATAGACCTATGGCCCTATAGCCATATAGTTCCATAGCCCCATCGCCCTATAGCCCAATAGCCCTACAGCCCTAAAAAGACTTTGATTGGGGCTTTTGTCCAGTACCATATGCATTGTTCTCCTTTGGGAGAGACTGAGAAGGATGTGTTCGGAGGTTTCCAGAGCCGAGGGTTCCTGGAGGTTCATAAAAGTGTTTAGTTTCTTGGAGGGGATGCGTCCGCGTTTGGGGGAAAGTTCTGGAGGAGGAGGAGAAGGAGGAGGAAGAGGAAGACGACGCGAAGAGGGGGAAGGGAAGACAGAGGAAGGAGGAAGAAAGGTGGAGAAGGATGAGGAAGAGTGAGTGGGAAGAACTAACGGAAGATTCAGGAAGAAGGAGGGAGAAGGAGGAAATAGGAAGAGGAGGAGGAAGAAGAGGAGGAGGGCGGGAGGGAGGGAGGAGGGAGGGAGGGAGAGAGGGAGGAAGAGCAGCAGAAGGCGACAGGAAGGAGGAGGGAGGAGGGGCAGCAGGGGCGCGTGCTGTCGCCGAGCCGGATGTCGGCGTGTGCCGCCGCCAGCGGCGTGACCCCGCGCCCCCCCACTCCCCCGCGGGTGCGACCCGCTTCTGCCGAGAGCCGCTGCCGTCGCCTCTGGGACGGTCGGTCGGTCGGTCTGCTCGAGGCTCGCAGGTGGTCGTACGTCCCGATTCGGCTTGCCCAGGTGGTTCTTGCAGATTCAGTCGGGCCTGTCCCTCCACAGGAGGAATATTCAAAAATTGGTCAAAAATCATCTGGGCACGATTTTTTACTATGTTTGCGCACGTTTGTTGTGTATTGTTACTATGTCGTCGAAAATCCGCCTGTAGGGGGACATGCCCGACCTAATTCTTGCACCGTTGGGCGTCAGGCCTGCGCCGGCTGGCCTTCCCGGGGTTCCCGGGTTCCCTAGTTCTTTGTTGCTTGTTTTTGGCATGTTGCATTTGGGAGACCAGCCTTCCTCCGGTTCCTCCACCTCCTCCTCCTCCTCACCCTCCTCCTCCTCCTCGTCCTCCTCCTCGTCATCCTCTTCCTCCTCCTCCTCCTCCTCCTCTTCCTCCTCCTCAGCCTTCCTCCGGTTCCTCGGGTTCTGTGGTTTTGTGTCCTCTCTGTTTTTTGAAGGGGCGTTACCCAGGTTGCCCAGCAACGCCGAGCCATGCCAAGCCATGCCAAGCAGCGCCAAGCAACGCCAAGCAGCGCCAAGCAATGCTAAACAATACCAAGCGATGCCAAGTAGTGCCAAGCGATGCCAAGCGATGCCAAGCAATGTCAAGCAGCGCCAAGCAGCGCCGAGCAATGCCAAGCAGTGCCAAGCAATGCCCTGCTTGCTTGGCGGACTACTCGCCAGCACTATGGTTCCCCGAGCACTGCTTGCACTTAGGGCTGCCTACATGTCTTCTACGAGACTGGGCCTGGCTGGCGGTGTCCGGCTGGTCGCCGCCCGCCGCCACCCGCCGCCGCCGCCCATTGTGGGCTTGGCTGGCGGTCTGGCCGACTTGTCGCCGCCCGTCGCCGCCCGTGCACTGTGTTGCTCGGGCCAGACGAAAGGGGGGGATGGGGTAGGGGGGGGGGTACGAAATTAGCTGCATGCAGCTGGTTTCGGCCCCACCGAGGGGCCCATTCCTCGATACATAGCTCCCTCGCCGGGAAAATCAGCTACGTGAGCTGATTCTCACCCCCCCCCTTTTGTTATCCCCCCCTTTCGTCCGGCCCGAGTTGCATGGGTATTGTCTTGTATTGCCGCGCCCTGGTTTGCATTGTTTTGCATCGCGCTGTAGTGCTTTGTGTTGCTTCGTACTGCGTCGCACTGCTTCGCGTGCGGTGCTCTGCATGGCTATGCTCTTTGTTTTGCTTTTGATTGTTCTGCATTGTGCTGTTGTAGCTTTGGCGTGGCTTGCATTGCATTGCATTGTGTTGCATCGCATTGCATTGTTTTGCATTGTTTTGCGTTGCTTCGAATTGGCATGAATTGCTTCGCATGCATCGCATTGCATTTATTTGCATTGGTTTGCTCGGATGAATATAAATATAGATATATATATATATATATATATATATGTGTGTGCATTGGTTGCATGGCTATGTCTGTGGATTGCCCTGCATCGATTTGCACTGGTTTGCATTGCTTGGTATGCATGTCATATGCATTACTTCGTATTGCTTCGCATCGCGTCGCATCGCGTCGCGTTGCGTTGCGTTGTATTAGTTTGATTGCTTTTGCATGTGGTTGCGTCACATTTCTTTGCCTTGCTGTGCTCTGCATGGCGCTGCAATGCATTACACTGCGTTGCAGCGCCGCCCTAAATCAAGACGGACGTGTTCGACAGTTGTTCGGCGCCTGAAGGCCGCTTCCCAGATCCAGACCGCCCGAGCACGCGAAAAGCCAGCCCCAAGAAAAAGGTCGGGACTTCCGGTGGCCCCGTGCTGAAGACATCTACGGGGCACATTTCGATTCCTCCGATTCGATTCGATTCGATGTCGATGGCTTTCGATTCCGATTCGATTCGATTTCGGATTCCGATTCGGGCTCCGATTTATCGATGGAGGCCTTCTAGCCTGCCGATTTCCGCCGGTTCGTTTTTTCCTGACTCGGCTGCCGATTTCCGCCGATCCGATTCATTTCGATCGCCGATCAGACCTATCGATTCGATTCTAGGTTCCCCTGTATCTAGGCCTCCCAGATGGGGCCCGAGTAGGTGGAGTCGGAGGACCGCGCCACATCGCCGATGCATCGCCGATGCGACTCGATGTGGAGCCCGACTTCGTTCACGTCGACGTCGCCTGGGCGTGGCCAACGATGCCAGCGCATCGCCGATGCATCGGCGATGCGGCGCGATCCTCCGACGGCCCCATCTACTCCGACCCCATTTGGGAGGCCTCTAAGACAACAAGGCATCGGATCTCGGGACTCCCCTCCTGGCTCGAGCCCCCAGGCCGCGGCGGCGGCGGCGCCCTCGGGCCGCGCCAGCGGCGCGGACCCCCCGCAGAGGCCTCCGCGGGGAGAGCTCCGCGCTCGAGGCCCTCGCGAGGGGCCCCTCGAGCGAGGGGCCTCTCGAGCGAGGAGCCTCGGAGCGCGCGGCGGCGGCCCGCGGAGAGGCGCCGATGGCGGCGGCCGCGGCGCCCGCCGCGCCGAGGCGGCCGGGGCTCGCCGCCGCCGCCCGCGCGCGCCGCCCGCGCGGGGCGCCGCGCCTCCGCGCGGCGCCCGCCTCGGCGCCCGCCGGCGGGCCGAGGGCGCCGGCGGCCGCGCGGCGGCGCTCGCGCGGGCGCTCGCGCCCGCGCTGCTGGCCGCGGCCGCCGCCCGGGGCCGCCGGCGCCGCGGGAGGGCGCCGCGGGCCCGGACGGCGCGCGGGGCGGCCGTGTCCCCGAGGTGCGGAGGCCGCGGTTGAGAGCACGGCGGGCGCTGGGGCGCGGCGGGCACGTGGCCCCGCCGCGCTCCAGCGCGATCGCGAGGAGGAGGAGGAGGAGGCGGAGGAGGAGGAGGAGGAGGGATGGGCCTCGAACGAGGAGGAGGAGGAGGAGGAGGAGGAGGAGGAGGAGCCCGGGCGCGAAGACCATGAGCGCTGCTCGTTGCGTGATTTCCGGCCCCGAGCCAGACCTCCAGGTCGGTTCGGGAGGTCGCCGCGGCGATGGCGCGGCCACAAGTCGGGGCAGGTCTGTCCGCAAGGAGTGACCTGGCCCTTCCCAGCGCCCGCACTGCTCTGCCATGTAGACGTGGGGTCGTCGTTTGTTGATTCATTGTTTTCCCGATCGGCGCGGGCTCTCGCCCCCCCCCCATCCCCCTCCCCCTTGGACTAGATCTTGGCTGTTTTTGGCGCCTGTTTCAAGCAGGTGGAGTCTCCCCCACAGGACGTTCTGCTGCAAACCGTCGCACTAAGCAGAGGTCTGGAGCCAGACCCCATCCCCTCCCCCCCCTTCCCGCCCACTTTCGAAACGCCGAATGAAAAAACGCTCACGGGCCATGCGTGGCCATAGAGCGACAGAGAGTCGTCAGTGTATGGTAAACACGGGCAGTCATTTTGTTTCGTTGGGGGTCGATGATCACGCAACCAGCTGAGGCGTCGTGTCGCTGTCCATGGGCCCGCGCGTGGGTGATCCAGCGTCGGCGGGCGCTTCCCTGCCGCTCCAGGCCCCCCGGGACCCTTACGGCGGCTGGTGCGGCTCGGGAAGTCCCGCGGAAGGGTGGAGTCGGGAGATTTGGTCGTGATGCTTCGGGGCGTCGTGGATCTCATCGCGGCCTCAGACGTCGGGGCTGTAGGGACGCTAGATGATCTGATCAGCAGGTGCGACAACTCTTGGGTCCGAGACCTCGTTCAGGACCCCGAGGCGGCGCAGAACGCTCCCAACAGGCGCCCCAGGGAGGTGCGGACGGGACACTACGTGCCGCTGCAGCCGGAGGCCTTGAGGGATCCATATCTGGTGGCCAGGAGTGCGGAGATGTTGGCCAGTTTGGGCCTCAGCGAACACGAGGCCGCCTCCGAGAGATTTGTTCGCCTCTTCTCTGGGGACTTGACTGCCGTTGATGGGCTCCAGTCATGGGCTACCCCCTATGTCCTGTCCGTCTACGGCCAAGAGGTGAACCCCCGCCCGTTCGGCAACGGCAATGGCTACGGAGACGGCCGCGCTATCTCGATCGGCGAGTTCTCGGGCCCCGACGGGCAGCGCTGGGAGCTGCAGCTCAAGGGTGCGGGCCGGACACCATTCTGCCGCGGTTTTGACGGCAGGGCCGTGCTGCGCTCCAGCGTGCGGGAGTTCCTGGCCTCGGAGGCGATGCACCACCTGGGAGTGCCGACCACGCGGGCCGTCTCCCTCGTCGCCTCGCACTCGGAAGTGGTGACGAGACCGTGGTACAGCGACGGGCCCCAAGCGCAGCAGCGAGGCGGAGGCCGGGACCCAGACATCGTGCAGCAGGAGGCATGCGCGATCACGTGCCGGGCCGCGAGGTCCTTCCTGCGGGTCGGCCACGTGGAGCTCTTCGCGCGGCGCGCCCAGCGGGGCGACCCCGGCGGCCTGCGCGAGCTGGAGCTCGGGCGTTGCGTAACTGGTGGGCGATACATGGTGGGGGTGAAGACAAGTGCACCTTTTAGTACACTCAGTGGGCCCTGAAGAAAAGAACCCCCTGGGGCCTAGAAGGGGCACGAAAGATGCACGCTTCTCCCGTCCCCCCACTGATCGCCCCCACCGGTGGGCAACGCCCGAGGAGCTCATCCTGGAGCACGTCTTGGCCCGGGAGTACGCGGACGTCGAGCCCGGGCAGCCGCTGCAGGCCCGGGCCCTCGGGATGTTGCGGGCTGCGAGCCGCCGCATATCGAGCCTGGTCGCAGAGTGGCTGCGCGTGGGGTACGTGCAGGGCAACTTCAATTCTCAACGCTTCGCGTGTTCCTATCCTTACGTCGGGCATGTCCCTCTACTGGAGGGGTATTCAAAAATAGTCAGAAAATAGTATGGGGATGATATGTTCATTCTTTATTGACTTATGTTGAGTATGTTTTTACGTTTTATTTTTCGTCCAAATCCGCCTGTAGGAGGACACGCCCGACCTAACCTGCTCCTCCCATCCATGTTCGGTGCCCAGCGGCGCTGCCCCGCACGGAGTTTAGCTTGGCATCACACTTGGAGATCTCAGGGGCCAGAGTGGGCCGGGCCGGTGGCATCCGTTGCATGTTTCCTTGGCTCTCCGTCTCTTGGGAGCCTCTTGGAGGGCTCTGGGGGCGTCTTGGGGGCCTCGTCGTGGCTCTTGGGGATCTCTTTGGGCGTTTTGAGGGCGTCTTGGGAACAATGGGCGAGGAAACGCTGTAAACCACCTCAGCCCAGAGGGCTGCTGGGATTCTGACAACTGCCTGGTCGGAGGCCGCACCATGGACTACGGACCCTTCGGCTTCATGGAGCGCTACGAGCCGATGTGGAACATGTGGACCGGCGGTGGGGAGAAATACGGCTTCCTGAACCAGCCGCAGGCGGCGTGCAAGAACTTCGAGAGCCTCGCGGCGGCCGTGGCGCCCATCCTCAGCGACGAGCAGCGGCGCGAGGTGCCGCAGATCGTCGAGGAGTTCCGGCGGCTGTCGGCGGGGGCGCGCGACGACGTTTGGCGGCGGAAGCTGGGGCTGGCGCTGCCCGAGGAGGGCGCGCGGCTGTTCGCGTCGCTGGAGCCCCTGCTGCGGGCCTCGGGGGCGGACTGGACGCTCTTCTCGGCGGAGGGCCCGCGAAGACGGCGGCGGCTCTCCCGAACGGCCCCGGCCCGCTCCAGGAATCCCCTCCCCAGACGGTACCCCATCCGGGCGTCCGTCCTGGCCCGTTTTTTTGCTTCGACGCGGGGCCAGCCCTGGCGACGCGAAGCCTCCGGGAAGCCCACGAGGGACCCTGCGCCTCCTCCTCCTCCTCCTCCTCCTCCTCCTCCTCCTCCTCCTCCTCCTCCTCCTCCTGCTCCTCCTCCTCCTCCTCCTCCTCCTCCTCCTCCTCCTCCTCCTCCTCCTCCTCCTCCTCCTCCTCCTCCTCCTCCTCCTCCCTCCTCCTCCTCCTCCTCCTCCTCCTCCTCTCCTCCTCCTCCTCCTCCTCCTCCTCCTCCTCCTCCTCCTCCTCCTCCTCCCTCCTCCTCCTCCTCCTCCTCCTCCTCCCTCCTCCTCCTCCTCCTCCTCCTCCTCCTCCTCCTCCTCCTCCTCCTCCCCCTCCTCCTCCTCCTCCTCCTCTTCCTCCTCCCCCTCCTCGGGGACGGTCGCCGTTGTCTCGGCTGGCCCTCCTCCGATTCTCTGGCGGTTGCTGGCCCGGGTGCCGGAGGCCGCGGCGGCGGGCAGCTCCGAGGGCGGCCTGCTGGAGCCGCTGCGGCGCAGCTTCAGCGGCAGGCTCACCGGCGAGGGCGAGGCCCGGTGGGCGGAGTGGCTGCGAGGGTGGCTCGGGGCCTCGCCCGATGTGCCGTCCATGAGGCAGGCAAGCCTCGAGGAAGAGGAAGCGGCACCCAGTGGGGGCCCGACCACCACAGGAAACGCGCCCGCGCGGCAGCCACCTCGCCTGAGAACCGAGGGGCGCCATGCTATCACGCACCGCCGCGAGGTCCACTGTATTTCGCCTATCGGCTCTAGAGCCGGCACAGCTCCGACTCAGAATGTCGAACGCACTTTTGCGCCCGCGATTGACGCGGCGCTGGCTTCCCCCCGGCCCTGAGACCCCAGGCCGTCCATTTTTGTTTGGAATGGGAGCGTCACGCTTTCCATGGCAGAGCCACCGAAACCCAGGAAACCCAGGGCACCCTGGAGGCAAGCAGGGTGTTTCTTGGCATGGGCCTCCACTGTAAGCATAAACGTCTGAAGCTCCGCGCGGATGTCTCGGATCTGCGCGCCAACGACGCCCCTGCCCCTCCGTCGCATTCGTAACCCACGCCGCTCACATCGCGCACCAATTCTCGTTCGCGCTCTGCATCTCCGCCGCGCAGTCCTTGCCGAAGGCTGGCCTTTCTTTTCTCTGGAACTTGTATTTCGTGAACGCCTCCTCTAACTGCGCTTGCACAGCCCGCGCTCGTCTCGCGGCAACAGCTTCTGGCGCGCTCCGCGCGCCAGGGAGAGGGGTCCAGCGCAGGTCCAAGAAGCCCTCGCGGACCTCCAACAGTTCATGTTTGTTCGGCCATGCGCAGAAGGGGGGTAGGGGGAGGGGGGAAGACTTCTTAGAAGCACCCCTGCTCCTTAGAAGGCGCGGTCCTCATCTATAGATGCAGCGCTGGCGCCTTTCAGAAGCAGCCTCCTTCTGAGGAGCCTTCCCCCCTCCCCGGGCCCCTCCCCCTACCCTCTTGCACGCGACACCAATCTGTGCCGCTGCCTCTTCCCCGAAAGCCCGAAGTACGTGCCCCGCGAGTGGATGCTCGTGGAGGCCTACGGCGCCGCGCAGCGAGGGGACCGGGGGCCCCTCGAGACGCTGCAGGCCCTCTTCCGGGAGCCCTACGCGGAGTGGCCCGAGCTCGAGGGCCGCTTCTTCCGCGCGGCGCCGCCCGAGGCTCACAGGGCACCGGCCGCACACCTGCACCCGTCTTTCGGGGGCGGAAAAGAGGGGGGTGATGACTAGGGGGGGGGGATATCATGGCGGGGGCCATGATATCTCCCCAGATTTCATGGCGCCCCTTCTTAGTTCATTACGTCCCTGGCCCCCCCCGCTGGGCCGCGCACATGCCGGCGGTCATGATTTGCACCCCCCCTCTTAGACACCCCCCTCTTGGCCGCTCCCGAGTCTTGGCCCACCCAGATCGTTGGATGCCGATGATTTTCGGTCGCGATCGGCAGCGACCGAGCGACGTTCCAAATCCGTCGCGACCGATATCAAAATGGGTCGTGACCGGTCGCCCCCGATCGCGGCCGATGGGTCGCGACCGATACCGAAATTCGAAGCACAATCGGTAGCGGCCGTTCTCGCCGGTCGCGACTGGAAATTCCAGTATCAAATGATCATCAGGAGGGGAAGAAACACACAGACACAATGAATCGTCGACTCCCCAGAAAATATGGGGAAATATGGGAAGTGGGGGGGAAGACAAAACCCCAGAAAATATGGGAAAATATTGGGAATCGTGTCATTTGTGTGTGTGTGTATTCATTTGTGTGTCCCAGGGCCCCTTCCAATGGCCAGGGCAGGCCGATCTTGGGCCCAGGATCGGTGTCGAGCTGCCTCGCTGCCCCAGCCAGGAGGGCGTGTCTGCACCGACCCTGGGCTCAAGTCGGGCACGCCCCTCTACAGGAAAAAAATTCTCTGCACGAGCGAAATGGGCACGGAAAGAATGGGTACAATGCCCAACAGCGGTTCCTGATCATTTTGAACAGGACTCGCTGTCCTCGCCGCCGCGGCCTGTGTCCATTCGAGACAGAAGGCCGCCTGCCCCCCAACAGCGGCCGCTGTTGGTTTGGGACAACATTTGTTGTTGGGCATTGCACCCATTCTTTCGGTACCCATTTCGGGCGTCCAAAAATTCAAAAAAAAAAAAAAAAAAAAAAAAAAAAAAAAAAAAAAAAAAAATCTTAGGATGATTTGTGGAGCGTTTTTCGGCTATTTTGAGGTGTGTTTTGGGGTACTTTTCATTTGTCGTCCGAAATCCCCCTGTATGGGGGACATGCCCGACCTAACCATGGATGGGCCCAGGAGGAGCCTGGCCAGGACCGGCGTGTGCAGCTGGCGTCCTCCCGGAGGCCGCGCGGCGCGGGGGCACGGCCTTCATGAGCTGATCCTCGTAGGCGCGGGCGCCGGCGGCGGGCCGCCGCCGCTGCGGCGGCGGCTCGCCCGCGGCGCCCGCGGGCCGCCCACCGTCGGCGCGCCGCCGGGCGCGCCGGCGGGCGAAGCGGCAGTCTTCAGAGGAGTACCCACACCTCCACCCTGCCCCCGTTTTCCCTTTCTCGGCCTCTCCTCCTCCTCCTCCTCCTCCTCTCCTCCTCCTCCTCCTCCTCCTCTCCCTCCTCCTCCTCCTCCTCCTCCTCCTCCTCCTCCTCCTCCTGGGCGGCCCTCGTCACCGCCGCTGGATTCGCCTCGAGATCCTGGTCAGAGCGCACCCCAGGAGAGGTCCGGGGAGTGGCGGTGTCGGTACCTCCTGGCCTTCCCAAGTCGACCCTGCCGCGGAGGCCGCGGCTGCGGTGACGCGCCCGTGGCCCCTCGCACAGGCCGGCCCTGAGTGAGGGCGCGCGCGGGCCGCTGATCTGCCGTGGCCTTATGTCGGGCGTGTCCCCCTACAGGGGGATTTTCGACGGAAAAACAAAAAAATACCCTCCAAATACCCCAAAAAGGTAAAAAACAAAATTCAAAAAATAGTCCCCAGACTATGTTCTAATTATGTTTTATTATTTGTGGGGTATCTTTTATTTTTCGTCGAAAATCCCCCTGTAGGGGGACAGGCCCGACTTAACCGTGGCCTTCGGGGCTCGCGCTCGGCGCGGCGGCCCTCCCCGGCCTGCGGGGCCCGCGCCGGCTCGGAGGAGGGGCCCCGGCGAGACGACGGCGGCGCTCCCGCTGGCCTGCTGTGAGGTCCCTCCTGGGCCACGTGCAGGGGCACAAAAAGCTGCATAAACATAGAAACTCCGAGGTCTGCGCGGATTCCTCGGATCGGCGCTGGGGCCCCCCCCGGCGGCGCCTCCGGCGCCGCCCCTGGCGCGCTCCGCGCGCCAAGGAGGGGGTCCAGCGCCGATCCGAGAAATCCGCGCGGACCTCGGAGGTGTTATGTTTATGCCGCTTTTTGTTCCCCTAACGTGGGGCCTCCCGGAGGCTTCTCGTCGCCACGGCTGGGTCCACCACGAGACACGGGCCAGGGCGGACCCCAGGAAGAGTCTGGGGGCCGAGTTTGAGCGGATGATGGCCGCAGGACGCCGGTTTTACACTTGCACGGGTCCTGGCGTTGCCACTCCTGGGCCCAGGTTTGGTGCATGCGCCCCTCTGGCTGAGCAGGGGGGGGGGGGGGCGTACCCGCTGGTTCCGGACGCAGACATTGGCAGCGTCGGCAGGCGTCTCCCGATCCGCGGCATTCCCCCCTCCTCTCCCCCCTCCCACGCCCCTCCCCGCCTCGTGGAGCGAGGTACAGTCAAAAACCCCAATAAGGACGCGCGATTTTGCTCAGGGTACCCTTGCGTCCTTGCTCTTCCTTGCTCTTGCGTCCTTGAGGTTGTCGTCGTCCGCCGCCCCAAAAATCCCAACTTCGGCTTCCAAGGGTCTTGCGTCCTTACCGCGCGTCCTTATTAAGGTTTTTGACTGTAGACAGGGCCCAGGGGTGGATTGGTAAAGGGGAGGTCGGGCGGGAGCTGCCGCTGTCTCGAGTGGCCCTCCTCCGAGGAGCACACCGCCGCCCCCGCCGGCAGAGTGAGGGGGGCGGGGGCGGGGGAGGCGCACCGTGGGCAGCGGTGCACTGCGCCTTGTGGTCGTGCGCACGAGGAGCGCCCTGCGCGCGGTGCGCAGCGAAGAGAAAAAAAGGCCATCAACGCAAATCCGAGCGGAGCGCCAAAAGTTTTTGTTTACAGTGGAAGCCCATGCCAAGAAACACCCTGCTTGCCTCCAGGGTGCCCTGGGTTTCTTGGGTTTCGATGGTTTTGCGATGGAAAGCGTGACGCTCACACACCAAAAATCAACGGACGGCCTGGGGTCTCAGGGTTGGGTTTCTAGTGGAAGGCTTCTTGTGGACGGGCCTCCACTGTATGGCATTCTTTCTTGTTCTAGTGCAGCGCACTCGCTCTCCTGCGCGCGGCGCGCTTTCCGTGCCGCTGCTGCCGTGCGCTGGCGGCACGCACTGCGCGCGCGCGTGTCGGCGCCCTCTTGGCCGAAGCGGGGACGCGGAGGGCGACCCGCGCGTCGCGCGGCGCGGCCTGGGCGGGAGGGGCGCCCATCGGCCTCCTCCTCCTCCTCCTCCACCTCCGCCTCCTCCTCCTCCTCCCCCTCCTCCTCCTCCTCCCCCTCCTACTCCTCCTCCCCCTCCTCCCCTCCCTCCTCCTCCCCTCCTCCTCCTCCTCCTCCTCCTCCTCCTCCTCCTCCTCCTCCTCCTCCCCCTCCTCCTCCTGCCCAAGCTCAGCGCCGAGCCATCGGTGGCGCGCCAGATGCGCTCCGCCGCTCCCGCCCCCCCCCCCCCGCGGGCGGCTGCCGCCACCGCCGTCGGCGTCGTCGTTCGCGCTGCTGCGCTCGCTCGTCCGTCGCCGTCTTCGCGTCGCTCGTCGTCCTCGCCGTCGTAGTTCGTCGCCGTCGCCGGCGCTTGCTGTCTTTACCCCGATTGCGTGCCCCTCCGCGGGTGCGCACGAGGCCCACCTAGAATCCTAGAGCTCCGTCCTTCCGTGCTTCCTTCCTTCCTTCCTTCCTTCCTTCTTTCCTTCCTTCCTTCCTCCGCCTCCTGCTCCTCCTCCTCCTCCTCCTCCATTCCGCCCTCCTTCCCTCCTTCCTCCATTTCCGTCCCTTTCCCTCCTCCTCCTCCTCCGCCTCCTCCTCCTCGTCCTCCTCCTCCTACTCGCTCTCCTCCTCCTACTACTTCCTCTTCCTTCGTTCTCCCTCCTCCGTCCTCCTCCGTCCTTCTCCGTCGTCTCTCCTCCCCCTCCTTCCTTCTCCCTCCTCCCTCCTTCCTCCCCCTTCCTCCTCCCCCTTCCTCCCCCTCCCTCCTCCCCCTTCCTTCTCCCTCCTCCCTCCTTCCTCCCCCTTCCTCCTCCCCCTTCCTCCTCGTCCCCCCTCCTCCCGCCGCCGCCCGGCGGCCTGCAGGACCGGGCGAGCGCGTGGCGCCCAGGCGCTGGCCCCCGCCCCGCTCTCCCGCCGGCCTGCCCGCGCTGCGCCGCGGGAGCTTCGGGAGACGTCGCCACGAGGGGGGGGAGGGAGGGAGGAGGAGGAGGAGGAGGAGGAGGAGGAGGAGGAGGAGGAGGAGGAGGAGGAGGAGGAGGAGGAGGGGCAGGCGGAGGAGGAGGAGGAGGAGGAGGAGGAGGAGGAGTAGGAGGCGGAGGAGGAGGAGGAGGAGGCGGAGGAGGAGGAGCAGGAGGAGGAGGAGGAGGCACCCGTACAAAAGGCGCCGTGGCATGGCAGCCCTCGCAGAGGAACGTCGCGCCGTCTTAGGCGTCACAGCGTCAAGGCTCCCTGCCCCCGACCCGCAGCGCCCGTCCTGCACGCCGCCACCGCCAGGCCAGAACCTTGGCATCGCTCGGACGTGTGCATTTTGCCTTCGGCGAGGAACATCGAGGAGCATCCTTGATCATGTGGCGGAAAATAAACCACGCACGAGACCGAAAAAAAAACACAGGGAATGGACGTCCGAGCGATGGCCAGGGAGGGGTCCGTAGCTATGTATCACGATCACAGCACTGGGAGGAACCGGCGTCGCGTGGGACAATCTGTCGCGCGCGTTCCTCTGACAGAGTTGGCGTCGAGACTTAGAGGAGTTGCGGAGATCTCAATCGCACGAATCAGTTCAGCAGACTGGAAAGCCTCGAGGGAGCGAGGGGGCCAGGGAGGGGGAGGGGGGAGGTCGGAGAAGCAAGGAGGGAGGAGGGAGGAGGAGCAGCAAGGAGGAGGAGGAGGAGCAGCATGGAGAAGCAGGAGGAAGGAGGAGGAGGAGGACCAGGAAAACGAGTTTGAGCAGGAGGAGGAGGAGGAGGAGCAGTAGGAGGAGCACGAGGAGCAGGAGAAGGATCGAAGATTGAGGAGAAGGGAGAGAAGGAGGAGGAGGAGGAGGAGGAGGAGGAGGAGGAGAAGGAGGGTCGGTGGAGCCGCCCTGAGGAAAAGGGAGGTCCCGATGGAAACAGGGCGAGATTGGCTCCTGGAGGCTCTCGGAGGTTTTTCATGGTCCTTTGCAGGTTTCCTCGCCTCGGGGTGTTTTTTTTTCCAGCAGCTGCGCCTCGCCGAGAGAGCGCTCCAAGGATGCCCGAATCGTCCCGAGGCCGCTGGAGTCCCGATCTATGCCCCGAAAACCAGACGTGGTCCTGGACCACCCGGGCCTGGGAGCCACTTGGGGCCGACACCCTTTTTCTTTTTTTTCTCTCTCTCTCTCTCTCTCTCTTTCTCTCTCTCTCTCTCTCTTTCTCTCTCTCTCTCTCTCTCTCTCTCTCTCTCGTTCTCTATTACTTTCTCTCTCTCTCTCTCTTTCTCGCTCTCCCTTTCTCTCTCTCTCTCTCTCTCTCTCTCTCTCTCTCTCTCTATGTATAGATATATAGGTTGTCTCTCTCTTTCTCTTTCTCTCTCTCTCGTTCTCTATTAATTTCTCTCTCTCTCTCTCTTTTTCGTTATCCCTTTTTCTCTCTCTCTCTCTCTCTCTCTCTATGTGTGATCTCTCTCTCTCTCTCTTTCTTCTCTCTCTCTATATATATATACATAAATGAATAGGTGTCTTTATATATATATATATATGTGAATATATAGTTTAGCCTTTGTATGTATATATACATATATATATATATGTGTATATCGGTATCTGGTTCGTTCCCTCTCGTTCTTTTTCTCTCTCTCTCTCTCCCCCCCTTTCTCTCTCTCTCTCTCTCTCTGTATCTATATGTCTCTCTTCCTCTCTCTCTATATATAGCCGCTGACCTGGGTTCGGTAACTGCTTCGTGGCTGGCCCGGATGCGCGGCATCTCCTTGGCTGACCCAGGTTGGCACGTCTCCGAAGAAGGGGGGGAGCCCAGAGGTGTTCAGACCCCACTTGCAGCCAGCCCCGGCATAGGTGCGAACCTCGATTGGCTCCGAGCCCCCAAGAGTGCCAGGGTGAGGAGCAGGGGGGGGGAGGGAAGGAGGAGGGGAACAGGGGAGTAAGGGCAGAAGGGAGGCCGGTTCCGGTTGCTGTTTGATGCTCTCTGCGGCTTTCGAGTGTTCCCAAGTCTCCGATCATGTTCTGACATTTTGAGAGGAGGATGACGAGAAGGAGGAATATGGGAGGACGATAGGGGGCAAGAGAATGAGGAGGAGGGGGGGAGAGAAGGCGGCTGGACGTATGATTCGATGCTCCCGCTCATACGCATGATGTCTTAGGAGGCACCGACTGGAGAAGCGAAGATGGCCCCACAAAGCCTTCTTTCCCTCCGCGTCCCCCCTCGTTTGCCCACGCCCCTTCCTTTCTTTTTCCCACCGCTTGCCGAAAAGAGACGTGAGTACGAATGGCGGCCCTTCAATGTCCTCCGGAAGCTCCGAGATGAACCCATGTTGCGACAAATCGACTCCAGCACCACCCCAAGGTAGCCCCAGGATGGCTCCAAAAAGGTAAGGTCCGCAGACGTGTCGCGTCCGACGGCCCGTCGAGCCCTTGGAGGGACCGACCTGCGATCAGTTCGAGGTTCTCTGATCCAGAGTTTCGTACGTCGCCGATAAGATGTATTACTTCCTGGTACTGGACTGTCGCGGTGAAGTGTCGGAAGCAGGCGGTTTCCCCCAAGATGCAGTGACACGGACCGCCATGAGAATTGATTGTTGTTAGAAGCACATTGGGAGGTGATTGTTGCCAGGTAGACGCAGTAAAGATCTTTAAGAGTGGTTGGCCAGTGTCGAATGGAATTGTGTGATGCCCGCCAAGCCATGTAATGTATCAAGCTACTCCAGATGTGATATTCGGCGACCAGCGGCTTCGAGAGTGGATCGATGCGAACTTGGTGCGGCTAGACACTGGCGCCCAGGGCTGGATGTAATGAGCGGATTGAGCGGATGCATGCAGAATCTGCCCCCCATCACATGAAAGCGGTTGCTTGTTGCAGTGGCACGCATGATGCCGTAGTAGATGTTAGACTGCGCCCGCGTGCGACTCTACTGCAACGCCGCCTGCACAAACCGCAGGTTCATTGCATGCCTGGGGGGGAATCACGGGGACCAGGGGAAGAGAGGGAGTCGAATGGACAGCTGACAGGCAAGACTGCTAACGCGCAGCAGGCGGCATTGAATCGTCCGGCGGTTCTTCGCTGCGTGGAAAGTATAGCAGATGACGGCGATAACAAGCAGAAGTGCAGCAGGGAGGAGGAGCATTGCCTACGTACAGAAACGGCAGCGCGATGCTGTCTCACTCGCGAAGAGCGACTCACGACTCAGATCCGAGTTTGAATACAGTCGGGGCCCTGAAGAAGGAACCCTTTCCGTTGGGGAGGGGCTCCGCGTTCCTTGATTGCCTTACAGTTTTCCTTAGCTTGTCCTAAGGTTTTCCATGGGAAATCGAAGGTTAGCTCAAGGGAAAGAGGGGCCTCGTTCCTTATTTAGGGTTCCTTAGGTCAACGCCCCGACTGTACCACCGCCCGTGTGAGCGCCTCGCTTCGAGAACGGCATCCGTCTCACAGTTCCACGGCGCGTGTGTGTCTATAGCTTGTCCGGCCGGATCTGCGGGCACGGACGTGAGCATCCCCTTTCCGGGGTGCAGGAGCAGATGGGCGAGGGAAGGGGGCGGAGGGGGCAGGCGGAGGGCACCACGCAACGGTAGGGCAGCAGGGGCGAGGGCAGGATGGTGAGGGCAGGGGGCGGGACGGGGGGAGGACAGGGCGGGGTGGGGAGGGGGATCGGGGCAGGGAGGGGAGGGGAGGAGGGGTGGGGGGATGAGAGGGGGGGAGCAGTCAGAGAGACAGGGAGCGGGGCGGGGAGCTGGCGGGCCCGGGGGAGGGAGGGGGGGGGGAGGCGCAGAGAGGGGAGGGGGAGGGAGTAGCCATGCAAACCTGGGCGTTCTTCGCGTTTTCCTTCCAGCCCATTCAAAAAAGAGTTGTACTGATCAGGGAAGGCTAAGCATCCTGCGGAACAGACAGGCGAGTCGGCCGTCGATCCGAAGCTCGGAATCAGCTTGAGCATACCCAGGAGCGCAATTGCTGAGCCTGCCCTCGCAGGAGGAGGAGCAGGAGGAGGATGTGGAGGAGAAAGTGAAGAAGGAGGAGGGGGAGGAGGGATTTTGATGAAGAGTGAGGTGGGAGCAGGAGGAGGAGCAGGAATAGGAGGAGGATGGGGACAGGAAGAGGGGTAGGAGTAGGAGGAGAGCGACGATGACAACGGCGAGAGTCATCCATGAAGGCCTTCGCGAAACTTTCGCTCGAAGAGCCTCTCGAAGCTTCTTACAGACATATTGGGGCCCGCTTGCGAGCCTTTGGGGTTCTTTTGGGAAGGTCTTGGAAGAAATCGATCGAAGGAGAGGGCAACGCCGAATACTCTTGAGCCGATAAGCTCGCCTCTCGGAGCCCTCATTAGGACGTTATTGGGGCCGTTTTGGGTTTCTTCTGGGCCTGTGTCTTGGGTTGTTTTGGGCGTTCTTGAAGCCATCTTGAGGTTTCGGAGGGAATTCGGAAGCGAAAATGCGAGAAGGCCAACATCATTCCGAAGTCACATATAGTGGTTTAGTGGAGGGGGTACCTGGGCCGTGTCATTTCTACAGCGTTCATCTCAACATTGTGCTCACGGCAGCGCTCAACTGATCCCAAGTCGAGACGAAGCTCAGAACATGTGTTTGATCCATAAACTTACGGCTCAAGTTTTTTCAGGGTGACATGGAGAGTGTTTTTTCCGTCTGGGCCATAATGCGCGTTCTGCCCCGCCCCCTCCCCCCCTCCTCCCCGCCCCCATAACGTACGTAACGTTTCCCCCCTCAATGCGTCCCCGGCACTGCCGCACTGGGCTCCAGCACCACAGTCTGGGGGGGGGGGCCGTCACGTTATGCCCCCCCTCGTCCCCCCATAACGACCGTCATCGCCGCGAGTTTAAAAAAAATGTGCTCGTGCTTTTCCAGGGAGCCGGTCGCCTCCTCCTCGTTGCGCTCACCGTCGCCTGGCTGGCCCCGTCGCCCCTGCGCTTGCTGGCGCGCACCCAACGGTCGGGCGACCGCAGCTGCCTTGTGCCCGCGCCGCCGGTGACCCACAAACGGAGTTGCCCCACCTCCTGCCCAGACCTTTCGGAGGCGTTGGAGGCGTTGCGGACCGTGACGGGGGAGAGGTCCTCCCACACCGGGGGTCGAGCGAGGCGGTTCGCGTCTCGGCCGAGGGGATGATCCCCTGGCACGTGGAGCTGATCAGCGCGGTCGCTGGGAGCCTCGCCCTCCATCTGGACGTTGCGGTGAGCTGCCTCTCTTCGCTGGTCTCCTGTTGTCGCGATGGCCGCCGCTGGGGTCGTGAAACTAGTGGCGCAGACCCGCCTCAAGCTCCTCTTGTTTTACATGGATTAGACGGACCTGTGGCACGAGGTGGTCGTGCTGAGGAAGAGGTCGGCGGCGAGTTACAAGACGTTACGCGGGGAGGAGCCTTCAGCGTCTCATTGGCCGCGGTGGATGTTGACGGTGAACTGCGGCGTGCACCCGCAGGATTTTGCCGTGCTGGGGGACCTGCAAGCTGCGAGCGCTCGATGTAGAGGGGAGCGTCGTCGGCCAGCTTCGTGGTCGCGGACCCGACCCAGCGGTCCGACATGTTTATCGGTTGGCCGTGGCGACGGCATGCTAAATATCCCGCTGTTCCTGCGCGTTCGCGCCGTTGCCGACAGCGAGGAGCAGAAGGGGGAGGAGCTGGAGACGTGCCCGACGCTCCCGACGGGAAGATGTGGAACAATTCTGACTCTAGTGATCAAGCGTTCGCTCCTAGCTCTGCTAACCGACCTGAGGTTTCTCATGCTTTCACGCTGCTACAGGGCGGCGGCGCGACCACGATGAAGGCGGAAACATTAAACGGGGCTGCCGCAGCGCTACGCCGTCGCGTCGGACGTGGCGGGGGACGACGCCGATGCCCGCACCTTGCCGGTGGCGTGGCGAGGCGATGCTCGTCGGCGGCGGCTCGTGGAGGCCATGAACACGATGGTGCACCACGACGACGGCGATTCCCCGCGGGGGGGCGATGCGTCGATCCTCTGGTACCTGAAGGAGATCGCGCCCAGCGGCGACGGCGGGCCTGTCCAGTGGCACCACCACTGGGCCCACCAGCTGAACTCGGTGGGGCGACCGCTCGGTCCACGAGCTCTTTCTTGCATCATGAAGGCGCTGGAGCTGGCGGCGGGTCGACCGGCTGAACACCCCAACGTCGGTTTCGCTCGAGGGCGCAGGGCGCCGCGCCACGCTGATCGAGCAGGCGCGCGCGAACGCACCCAGCGCCCCGCGCTACGCGGGGGGCCGGCGGCGCAATGGGCCAGGGCCCCGGGGCGCGGCGCTGGCCGCGCCGACCTCGGTCAAGCACGCGGTGGATTAGGCTCGCGACATGACATCAGCGCTCGAGGAATTTCGCAAACGCAAGGGAGAGCTTCGGTCGAGGCAGCCGCCGAAGGGCCCCGCGAACGAGGGCCGGGGCGACGACGACAAACGACGACTGGCGATGGCCCCCTTCAGCGCCCGAGAGGGGTGGCCGAGATCGAGGGCACCCCCCGCCAAGCAGTTGCGCCCCCTCTCGGGCGTCGCGGCCGAGGACCGCGACGCTCCTAGAGAGCTTCTTCCTCTTCTCACGTTCTTCGAGAACCGCTCTATGCCAGGCGCCTCTCTCGCGGCGCTCGGCGTCGAGTTCGGACCTGGCGACGCGTCGCAGACGAGGCGAGCATCTGGGCCCTCAAATGGCTCGCGGGGTCTTCTGCGGCAGACGCCGAGTTTTCGCCCGCCGGCCTTCGCGCCGTCGCGGACCACCTCTACGCCGCCACCCATGATAGTCGGCCGCCGCCGGAGGCGGTCCCAGGCGAGGGGGCCCCGCGCGCGCGCCTCGGCAGCAGCGCCCCCGCGGGGGCGACGGCTTGACGGCGGCGCCCTGCGACCGCGCCCCGGCGCCCATCCCTGGAGACGGGCGGGCCCCGCCCCGCCGCCCGAGGCGACGCCGCCAGACGCAGCAAAGATGATCGTAGATTTCAACCACCACCCGCTCAAGGACGCTACCCATTGGGGAGCGGAGGCGGAGCGCGGCCCCGAGCACACCAGGCGTCATATGGACCCTGGGCTTCGCTTCAGCCGCCGCAGGTATATCAGCTTCATCGGGGGCCCGATCAGGGGTGGACTGCCCGCCCAGCAACCAGCCCATCGAGTTCGGGGCAGGATCTCGGATTTCTCTGCCCGAAAGAAGACGGGCAAGCAGGGCCTCGCCGTAGACTGCAGGCACGCGCCCCCCAGCTTCCCGGAGCGCCCCCGCGCCCCGATGGGCGCGGGGAGCTCCTGGGCCGAAGTCGCGACGGACGCGAACTTTGATTTGTCCCTCGCGTTGAGCGACGCGATGGATTATTTCTACGCGCGCGAGCTGCTGCCAGGCCGCGATCGCTTCTCCCGCCTGCCGGGCGCCGCCGGCATCGAGCACGAGGCCATCACCGGCGGCGACCCTTTCTGCGGCCACCTCTGGGACGTCGACCTCATCGCACCTGCCGCGAAGGCCGCGCCGACGGGGTGGGCCCGGAGTTCCCCCTTCGCCCAGCTGCTGCGCGCCCGCCAGGGACTGGCCGCGCCACGAAGGATCGCACCCCACCGCCGCTTTTTCGGATCTGGACCGGAGCTGGCGCCGCCCTACAGCGACAATTTCGCGGCCGACGCCCTCCGCGAGGACTGCGCGCGGAGCACGGCCCCTTTAGGCTTCGGGGTGCACTAGGAGGAGACCGCCCGCCATTCGGCCAGGTCGCTCGGGCGCCGTCATCGACGGCCCCTCTGGCGAGCAGAGGCCGTCGCCGGCTGAGGCCCGGCGGCTTCGGCTAGTCTGCCGCTGGCTGGCGCGCCAGCGGCCGTGGC